CACCGCTTCAGATTTCTTTGAACACTCTAATATCGTGCGACTCCAAACGATTTTTGTAACAAATGACAGTTCTCTGAGGATTAGTAAAATCGGAAGTAATTTCTATATATCAAGTTTACCTTTAATTCAGAAATAAGTCGACAACCCTATCCATACGCAACAGTAAAATTGATCATCTTGACGGAGTTATTAAGGAATGACAAGAGGATTTTTTTTTTGAAATAGTTCATAGCTCTACGGAATAGTAACTATTTACGAGATAAACATTGCAACATTACCAGTTTTTAACAACAATAATTAAGCTTCTAGTTCAAACAAATAAAAAAAACATTTTCATCCTGTCCTTGTCAGAAGACAAGAATGCAGCATGCATCTTGCTCTGCTCGCATGACGTAGCGGTTGCGTTTGCGTGTGAAAGCTTGGATGGATAGATTTTAGTCACTCAAGTATCCCAAAGCGGCTGAACAGATCTGGATTAGGCACACAGATAGGTTACACACTCGTGTGTTTCAATGTGCTGATCCTTCAAAAAGCATATGAAATAAAAATAATTCGATACCTAATTGAGTTCTGTAACAACGTTTTAACTGTCTTTTTTAATTAACACAGTACCACAAAAATAACAATTAAATGACGTATGTACGCGAACACAACCGCAGTTTCAGTTCACAAACATGTTACACAATTTGAATAAAGTCCATTTGTACGACGTCCATTGAAAACTGAGCTGCAACACTCCATTAAACTTTATAGAAACTGGATCGTTTTACTTTGGCCTTCAACCCCCCCTGGGTTGAAGGCCAAATTATACCGGTATATTGGTAGAGTGCCCGGCATCGAGCCTCCCCTGTCAGGGGACGAGCGGCAACTATACGTCATCCATACGAACACTCAGTAGTTATCCCTAGAGACTAGAGTGGGACTATATACAGTAATCCAACCGCTGAAATTATTTACCGACCTTCAATTATTGCTATCATTTATTGAAAGGGTAGGTGTAAGATTTGGCTTCTTACAGTATTGTAACTATTGGCCTATAAGTTAAGAGGTTACCGATACTTATAAATATATATATCAACAGTAGTGTAACTTGTGTGCTGAGAACCCCTAAGTTCCCATAAAAATACGTATCCATAACCCACTTCACCGGCCCTACTCATATAGAAAGAGTATAATAAGCTATTAATATCGATGTTCTCTAAGGAAGAATTGTAGAGCCCTTGTCAGGTAGCTAAATTATTTGAGCATTAATCTATTGCGTTTTGTCATTCAATTTCTACGCCTTTCTGTATAAAATAATTTCAACAAAAAGTTATACTATGTAACATATAATAATAATATAATAATAATAATATTCTACCACATACACACAACGCCATCTAGTCCCAAACTAAGCAGAGCTTGTACTATGGGTACTAGACAACTGATATAAATACATATATACTTTTTTTTTGTAAATACATACATATTATACATAGAAACACCCAGACCAAATCAAACATCAAATTTTCATGCACACAAATGTTTGACTTGAGCGGGAATCGAACCCGCGACCTTTGGAATAGCAGTATGTTACACAAACCACTACGCCATCCGGTCGTCACTATGTCTTCAAGACGAGTATTATATATAGAAAAAAAACATATTTATGACTCGGCACAAACATAATTCTGTTATTATCTGCATTTGTTTTCGCTTTTTTCGGAAGATAAATAAAACAAAAATTAAACGTAATCATAATCTTGTTTAAAATGTGGTTGGCAAGATTTGAAAAACCACACATACAGACTCTCACCAATTCTGTGCTATGTTTTAATTTAAGATGTAACTATGCCATCAATTAAAATACCTAAGCAAAAATCCGGTCTGTGTATGTTGAAGGTGTTCTTTCTCAAATGGGAGTTTCAGTGGAAAATTATCTTAATTCTTAAAACTTAAAACGGAATTGTGATTACGTAATGCTAATTTCTGGGATTCCTTCTAGAATCAGTCAAGATCGACAAAACTTCCAAATGTTAGTGAGTACTGCTTACGTGCTAAATAACAATGGTGGAGTAAGTGTAAAAGCATATCGGCTTAGTGCAAATATTTTTATTTTATAAATTATAACTTAAAACACAAGTACGCATTATGTTGGGGTCTACAAATCACTTTATAATTTTAACGTCCTAGAATATTATTATTATTTAATAAAATGTACGTTAAATATTTTTCCCTTCATTCTAATGGTTTAAGAGGCCCAGACCGTGTCTTTATTTCAGCTAGTAACCTTATACTTACCCATATTTTTATCTCACTACCACAAGATAAAAGCTATAATGTGCATCGCATGCACGATTCCAGCTATCTTGATTGTGAAAGGTTACATCATGTACTCGTAAAGCTATTAGCAAAGTTCCGATGACATTGAACAAAATGTAACAAGTTCAAAGTTTTAGTAGCAATCACAAGGTAGGTTAAGTTCAGCAAAGTTCTCCGGGGGGATTTTTAACCGTGTAAGCTGGGTCTCAGTATGACTAATGTGCTCTACGAGAGAATTGGAAAGAAATTGTTCCCCGTAGTGTTCCCGTTCAGTTCTAGTTTGTATACGAGAAACGATTTCCAGAGATTTATAACCACCCGATAGAAATTCTAGGAAAGCTTTCGTTGTTGTGCTTTGAATCACTTGTAATATGATTCACTAGCTCTTCACATTTCCGAATGCTTTATCGAGTATGTGACTGATACAATTTGTTTCTGAAATATGCATCCGCTATGGGTTATTAGTGAAAGATGAAAATCAAATAAGCCACTAGCCAAGAATAGTATTACCAGGTAACACAAATACTTGATAACTTGGGTCATACTGAAAGTTTCTCGATCGGGCCACTTACAATAAAAGAATGAAAAAACAATTATAGAATTCCAAAATGGAACTCTTTGGGAACATGTTATTTTTTAATTTGCAAGACTGTCATTTTTTTTCTCATTGTAAAGTTCTTTCGAAAATTGAGTCGGTATCAAAATGAATTATGATATTTTATAATTTTTGTTGTGACTTAAGTTAACAAAGGAGTTGCAAGAGACTTCAATTGACATTTGGTGATTGATTCGGAAGCTTTGCACTCGATGGATACCGCATGCAATACGCACGTAATACGTGTGTGTGTACCTTTCCTTTAATAATACAGTGGTTTTAAAAATGCATTAATTGCTAGGGAACATACTTTGAAAAGCAATGAATGTATCGTAAGTCTTATATCTAGTCTTATTTATCAGAATCTAGTAACCCTTACCTAACCTCAGTATGCCCTAAGCCTAAAGAAAAGTGACAACATAGGACATAATTTTCTATTTATACTCAAATAAGTGCCACAGAATGTTTATCAAAAAAAATTGGGTGAAAATACGCCTGCTACGCAAAAAAGTTTCTTAAAGTATCTCCCCAGTACCTATTAAGGGGAGACGTTCTCGTCCGTCGATTGTAAGAATTTCCACAATTAATATGCTACGAGAGTATAAATAATGATTTATGATCATCATTACTGTTGTCCTACTATCAATTATATCACCTATTAATATTAGTATTTTACTATAAGAAACCATTACATTCTTTTAGTAACAATTTCACTTCAGTTATCGTTGTCAAACCAATATCTATTAGAAAATTATTTGGGAACCTCTGAAACAGTCCACCAGTTTACTTGGTTACTGTGTACGAAATAATTTTTATTTAATCAGTAATCCTCGCACCGCTGTGACATCACGATAATATTGTAGTTCCGTAGATAAAAAAGGTAATTTATTGCTACGTCAACAGGGACTATAATCGATTGCCCCACCGGCAATTTTCATCTAAATTACAATAAGATTGTTATAATCTATTTTTATAGCTAATAGGTTGTTATACTAACTAGATTCGTGACAGCGGCGCATGTATTTTTATCTTATGAGGTACTTACAAGTTTTGAATAGAATTTCTTTATAAAATATTAATATTTTGATTATGGTAATTGCTAATTCAGTAGGACACTATTTAATAGATGATGAGTAAAGGGTTTTGTCATATTTTTAGGCTCAAAAAGTTGAATTAATAAAAAAAAACTTTTTGTATAATATTATAACGGAAAATTTACGTGAATAAATACTACATGAATAATACATTAAAAATATTACTTATATGTACAATATTACTTATATTAGCATCTTTACTAATCTTGTTCTTGAGGTCTATTTCTTTAGCTAAATATCAGGAAGGAAAGAACATGTGAAGCGGATGTAACAAAACGAAAATGACCGTAATATGGATTTCCCCCTTTTTCTTCTTCTTGTGCTGCAATCCCGTCGGATACCACCCACCACGCCGTCTCGGGTACCAGTAGCCGGAGAACCAGGTGTGCCCTAGGAAGGAAATCCCTGGTACCCTGGTCTCTGGACCCGGGCCATCTACGGCTTGTAGATGACTCCCTTGTGAGTAGGAACCACGGTGTTCCTATCCTACAACGTAAAGTACAACGTACGCGCGCTCCTCAGTGCCTGCTAACCCGGCCTGCTTCGTGTAGAGTGACAGATGGTCTCACCTGACACCCCCAGACTTGCGCTTAGGGAGGACGGAGGTCGTTCTACGACCTCGCTCGCCTGAGTCGTCGACGGTAAACGGCAAGTTCTCCGTTCTAAATCTCTTCCGGTCCCGCGCAGCCGTTTCCTTTCCGCCGTTCCGTAGTCAATCATGGTACTCAGTCAATCATGGAATTTTCACTCCGATGGCCACCACCAGGTTACGCCTCTGACCATCCCAAGCCAGAGCGCTGTGTCAACGGTCTGGCCATCGCAGTGGTGACACTCAGGCATTGGTTCCTTGCGGATCAGACACAGGTGAACCCCGAAGCGTCTTTCCCGATGATCACCTGCGTCAGCCGGTATGAGAGAGTCCCGCGATACCTCTCAAGCCAATCCTCCATAATGGATTTTACCGCAGCAATAACGGCGTGCCCGAATAAGGACTTCCCCTAAACTGAATCATGGGTGAGCTCACAAAAAACACACCGCACAAGTCATCCAAAACCACAGCTCGACCCACTTTTATTTCCATTCGGTAAATTCCGGTTCAGAAAATTGTTAAAAACTAGTATGAGGATTTTTTTTCGTATTAACGACTTCTGTGTCGCAGTTGTCGAACATTCAACTGCAACGTCATTATCATTCCAAAATACCAAAGATTACTTTGTCGTGTTCAACATTCAACTCTAGACTCTAGAGGCATCTTATAAACAATTTTTAGCGGTATAAATATGTCTACAATCATATAACATACATATATACTATACTACTTTCTTCTGATTAAATTCGTCTTCGTGGGTCATTGCTAATAATCCTGGTGTACAGGAGTTACGTTAGGTGCGTGACTCCAGTCTCTTCAAGATCCTGCAGCCTCGATCCCCTATCCGCATCAAAGAATTCTCATTTACCAATAAAAAAATTCAATTGAATATGAGTCGCATAAATTTAGGCAAATATTATCAAAACAAACTTGCTTAATGTTACGTACTTGTAGGAATTCTGCTACGTTTTGAACACATAATTAGTTTTATGACGATAGCCTTTGTTTCCACGCTGAAGTGGAACGAATAATGACGTGGCGTTGTCTATACGCGCCTGTTCATCGTTTCGCTATGGTCAATATTCTTACAACATTAATGAAACAAAAGAAAGAACTTAAAATAAGCCACACTGGCCGAAATATTGTTTTCGATAATTTTTGTAACTTTAAACAGATATTTATGAACCCATTTTTGTTAAATATGTATATTTTGTTAATGAGTAACGAGCAATGAGTTTGTTTTACTAAAGACCGTAAACAAAATAGGATTAAAAGAAATTATTATACATTTCATTAAGAAAGGCTTTCTGTGTCCAGACCATCTAATCGAACTTCATATAGGGACTTACTGAAGCAATAATGGCCAGACAAGCCTCAGCTTTTATGTTATACTCACATTATGTATAATATACTGTTTGTTCCTGTTTTATAAGTTTATGGGTTCTGATACCGAGTCAAGTTAAGTAGGCCAAAACCTTCTTTCTAAGGAGAGGCCTATGTCCAGCAGTGGACTATTAAAGGCTGTTGATGTGATGTGTGATGATGATGTGTTACCGAGTCAGGCTAATTTTGATTGACTTTATTATGCTATCCACGTTCTGCGTATAATGCATATATTATGTATATTTTTACTGCAAATAAGCACGTTGGAACGTTTAATACTATAAAGTGGGTTAATTTCGTATTATATTTATACCTAGCCGTTCTGATTAAATGTTTTTTGAATGGGTTAAATAAGAATGTCCACATTTTTTTATCTTGCGGCGGCTGTTACATGCGCTCTTTTATACGACCGCTAATGAATTAAATAAATTACTCACGCTGGCATATTCCCAAAGGGAAGGCGTAAAGGAAACCTACATGTCCATAATTCTAAAGTTTTTTGATTTTTGTAATAAGTAGTCAAATATTATTGGTAATCGATTTATTTTGGAATTGCTGATGCTAAAGCTGCTTGATTTTATGCAGCCGAGTTGGTAAACTAGTACATGGCGACGCTGATAGGAAATGATTGCCACACCAATTGTTTTTTAGAAAGACCTTACAAAATAATTTCTTTATTGGTACAGGATATTATGAAAGATTGCTGAGATCTAGAACCTACCCTGTTAAAAAAATATATGTTAATAGAAAGACTAAATAATACTTATGACTGCCTTTTTTTCCTGTGCGGCAATTCCCTCGGATATTACCCACCGGTGGGACGGACTCGAACCGACCAAAAACCGCACGCCGTCTCTCGAGTACCAGTAGCCGGGTAACTAAGTGAACCCTAGAAAGAAAATCCCTGGTACCCCTACGTACCTTGGGCCATCCACGGCGTGTAGATGACTTCCTCCTGTGTGGGAACCCCATGTTCCCGTTGTGCTCCCAAAAGTGTGCAGGGGCAGTGCGTCTCGCCGCCACCTCGGCTTGCTTCTGCTAGGGATGGCCTCACCTGTCACCCCCAGGCCTGCGCTTATGTCTGTCGTCTACGGTACCGTTCTGGCCTGTTCTCGGCCCGTCACGTCCGAGGACAGGCCAGGTAAACCTTTCCCGGTCCCACTCCGTTATCTCCTTACCGAGCTTACTTAATACCGAGCGAGAAGACTCCCACTCCGATGGCCACCAAGAGGTCACGCCTCTAGTCCACCCACGCCGGGCATTCACGGTGTTCACGGTCTGGCCACCGCAGTGGTTATGACTGTGAGCCTATTGAAAATCCGTACAATTAATTAATTAATTATTCAGGAACGAGACTCTTATATTAATAGTTAATTTTTTTTTGGCAGTAAATTTTTCTTTTAATTTAATATTCTTTTTACAAAACATAACTACGCAAATCGAATTAAAAGACCGCAGAAATCGTTTACCTACTTCTACTAATAAAATACGTGTTGAAATGAGTCGTTTCTGAAGTTGAGGTAATGATTCATTAGTACACAAAAGTAGGCAAAGAACTTCCACTACAGTACATACAAACGCTCCGAAGATAAAACCGCTGTTGTTGCGACCAAATAGAATATTGACCGCATAGATAAATTATATTTCATTGTTGATTTCTCTGTGTTAGTTTCTTTCCCGAAATGCTTGCTGTCTGAATTAAAACCTGAGACCCTTGATATAGACACCCTTAATCAAAAGCTTAACCAAGGCATGATGGAGGCCGCGCTAAAAGTAGCGAATAAGAATAGCACTCGTCAAGGAAAACTATCAGCGGAGACTAAAGGATTACTGCAGAAGAGACGCGACATGATAAAGGAGGGATTAAAGGGATCAGATGAATTCAAACAGCTTTGCGGGGAAACAAGACAGAAAGTAGAAGAAGATATAGAAAAATTCAAAGAAAAGACAGTGGAGGAGGTTATCAGACGATATAAAGGACCGAAAGTATTTTGTAGAGAACTTCAACCGGGTGCCCTACAAATTACGAAATTAAAAGATAAGGAAGGAAACTTGATCGCAGACAGGAAAAAGTTATTAAAGGTTATAGAAGACTACTACACAACACTTTACACCTCATACTCAAATGCACCACCGAACACGAATAAATCTAAAATCACTAATGTCGGGTCAGAAGATATCCCTGACATAACTAAGGCTGAAATAAAACTGGCCCTGTCTGCGATGAAGAATGGTAAAGCAGGAGGAGACGACGAAATCTTGCCTGAACAACTCAAAGAAGGGGATAACACTCTCATAGAATCACTAGCCATACTTTTTAACAAATGCCTTCATCTGGGTAAAATTCCGGAACAATGGAACAGCGCAATGGTCATAATTTTATTTAAAAAAGGATGTAAAGCCGACCTGAACAACTATAGACCAATAAGTTTACTATCACAAACATATAAATTGCTCTCGAAAATACTTACTACAAGAATCACCAGCAAACTTGACTTCTACCAGCCGGAAGAGCAAGCCGGTTTTAGGCGCGGGTACAGTACAGTAGACCATATCCTAACCATGAGAATGCTCATTGAAAAAGCCACGGAATACCAAATGCCCTTATGGTTTGCGTTCGTTGACTACAAAAAAGCGTTCGATACCGTAGAGGCTTGGGCGGTACAAGGATCGTTAAGAAGCGCAAGAGTAGACAACAGATACAACCATCTAATAGCTGAGATCTACAAAAACGCAACTATGAAGGTATCAATTCCGCAATCTACTAGGCCCATAAAGATCAGAAGGGGCGTAAGACAAGGCGATTCCCTGTCTCCGAAACTCTTCACCCTGGTTATCGAGGACCTATTTAAAAAACTAAACTGGCAGGATAAGGGCATCTCTGTAATGGGTACACGTCTAACAAACTTAAGATATGCAGATGACATCGTCCTATTTGCTGACACGCCACAAGATCTCCAGTGCATGATACAGGAACTACACGTGGTATCCTCTGAAGTAGGTCTAGAGATGAATCTCGATAAGACCAAAGTGATGACCACAGAATCGGAGGATACGGCGGAAATATTAGTGGATGGGACAGTAATTGAACGAGTTTGCAAGTACGTGTATCTAGGACAGGAAATTAAAATGGGAAAAGAGAACCAGGAGAATGAGATTAACCGAAGGATCAGACTGGGGTGGGCAGCCTACTCCAAACTCAATTTTGTATTCAAAATGAACCTGTCAGCACAACAAAAGGCTCAGATCTTTGACCAATGCATACTACCAGTCCTTACATACGGCGCTGAAACTTGGGTTACGACTAAAGCCATTCTGTATAAACTACAAGTAGCGCAAAGGGCAATGGAAAGAAAAATGGTGGGTGTGACATTGAGGGACAGAAAGACCAATACGTGGCTTCGTAAACAGAGCAAAGTATCAGACGTTGTAGAAAGGGTAGCAAAGTTGAAGTGGGAGTGGGCTGGTCATGTAGCGAGAAAGCAAAACTCTTGGTGTAAAAGAGTGTTGGAATGGAGACCATGGGACCAGAAAAGACCTCGAGGGCGACCACAGATGAGATGGAAGGATGACATCAAAAAAGTGGCGGGCAGCAACTGGATCCTAATTGCCCAAGACAGAGGAAAGTGGAGAGGATTAAAGGAGGCCTACACCAAATATTTGGTCGATTAAGGCTAAAGAAGAAGAAGAAGAAGAAGAAGTTTCTTTCCCATTTATAGAATGGACACACGGGTTCCTGACTCCAGTCTCTAGTAGCTACTGCAGTTTAAATTCTATTTCCCTACTCAAGCTCCCCTAGCTCCCTCTTTTACGATTTACTTTCTACGTTAGTCCCGTGTAAAAACGACTAAATTGCTAACGGGGGTTGTAGAAAGGTTACACATTGCGACTAGGTCAAATGAAATGAATAGGAAAATAATAGTTATTTTAGCGGTAACTGCAAAACTAATTTTAATAATTACACACATAGATAAGTATATGAATGTTACATATTTTAATTATGATCACATATTCTGAAATAGACTCTAGTCTCTATTCAGTATAACAACAGTAACTCTCTTGTGAAATTGAGAGTTATCTCAATTATAAAAAACTAATTTTTTGCTATATTTGCTTAGGCATTGTGCTAATGCCCGAAAACAATACGAGTATAATATTTTCATAATTCTATTATTTAAATACGTATCATATTTGATATCGTATATTTAGGATCACATACCAAAACCCTTGAAAAATCATTGACTGAAACCCTATCTAGGAATATTTTGTCCTACTTTCCGAACAGAAACATAGCCTTAAAGCCACACAATATCTGTTTTGTTTTATTTTATTCATGAAACGCCATACTTATAAGTCTTCGTTTTTGGTAGTATTTAGGAAGTAATTAGAAAACGTGACGTAAAACTTATTATTAACTTAGTATTTAGTTCATTAATCATAAAAGCTGAGTAAGAATGTTGACCACTTGTTCTACTGTAGGTACCAGTAACCGCTTACCACTCATATATTTTGTTTTATCTATTGACACTTCATCACGAACTATCTTGGAGTAAGTCCAACCACCCACGAGCGTCTGTGGTGGTTTTAGAATTGGTAAAATAGGATACGTCTTTCGAGAGGACGTGCATTCGAGTCGAGTGCGATTATAACAAACGCAAAGGTCATAGAGACGGTTCCAATGTCAGTATAAATCTATAGTGAGGACGGTGATAGTGCACAACTGATTTACGTCAGGTTAAGTTACATACTTAACTTGGGTTACACGAAAATACATGTGCAAATAGGTAGATTTTTGTTAAGAGTAAGATCTAAGTGACAGATGATGATCATCGGATCATCAGATGCTCATATTAAGGAATAGAGGTCGAATATTTAAAAAAGGAGAAATTCTAATATTTTTTGTCTGTTTTTCTCTAGATGCGAAGATGGTGGAGGCGGCGCGGCGACAGGAACGGGCGGGCGGACGGCGTCGCTACGGCTCGCGAACGGGCGAGTGGCGGCACAGTCGGCCGAGCAACTACCCCACTCGCCCGCAGATTGCGCCTCCGTGCGCATCTCCATGGACAACACCAACACCTGCTGCACCGACTCGCTCGTCACCGCCCTCGACGACGAGACTCTGCTGCTAGGTAACTACTGTAAGGAAACTTTTATATCATACTATCTTTATATTGCTATTAAACCTAAAACATGGCAATTTGTAGCATAGACCTTCCTATTTCTTATTTCATTTTTATTTTTCTGATCTTAATGGTGCAAATTTTGATAAAACCATCAAATTAAGAAAGTTAACTGCCCGGCTATAATAAAAAAATCAGTAGTTAGATTGGTAGAGGCTAAAAGTCTGAAAAGGTAGTTTTGATGAATTCGGTGTCTCTAAAACATGTTTGACATGAACAACGGTTTTAGATGAAGTAGTTTTGAATCTACTTGGTAAAACCCATCACCTTTAGCCCAATTTTCTTCTGTCTACACAGGTCTACCACCTCCTTAAAGATCCTTCAATTCAAAATGAGGCAGTGTTATACGTATGACTACCTACAACACATTACTCGGGTAATCTTTGAATACATGTTCTACTCGCCACGATGTCTAACTTTTATAAAACTATGTTCATATAATAAGCAAACAACACTTTTTAATAAATTCACAAGTTTTGTTGTTTCAAAATACTTTAGGGTTCTTTGTGTGTCTCTTTTATTTAGTTATTGTGATATGATATATTCTCTGAAGAACTAAAGATCACCAACTAACCAATGAGACAAGATTTTTCTTTACTAATACGACATGTGTAAGAAATAACACTACTATATATTCTAGCAAGCTATACAAGCTTCTAGCAGTATGTAAACAATAAGTAATGAAGTGCAAATGCAAACCAGCAGATGTACTCGAGATGTAGACTCGAGACTACAAGTCGCTAGGTTTTGACAGGCACACGTTAGGTACATTTTGGTCATTATAAAATAAAGCCAAGAAATGATAATTACAATATGAATATGAAAATTTAATTCTAGACAATTACAACTCATGAAAAGCGGCGAGGCGAGACGAAATCTTACACCTTTTTTATTCAACATCTTACTTAGGTATATCGAAATCACCTTTATCGTAAGAGTAGGGCTTATTCACAATGTAGGTAAAGCAAGACAGTAAGGAATTACTGGTTACTTTTCTACACCGCCCCCATAGTCTATGAGATAGCACTGATAGAAATACTACTGTGTATGTACCTCCTCTTTAGAACAGTAATCTGATTCGCGATCTTTTTTCACATTTCGATTGCTCATGTGTTTTGTTCATAAAATTATACAATGGACTTGCGCCAATTACAATTTGCTATTTTGCCGTCTGTAAATGTTCAGCGTACTTTAAAAGTGGATAAATTTGATCTTGTACAGAATGTTATCTAGCCAAAACATAATCCTGATGGGTAAATTATCCACAAAACTAGATAATTATAACTTTTGGACTACAGCCCTAATATAAATATTGAAAAGTTGTTTAATCTACGTCGCTAATCTATACCGTGCTTTAATTGCGCGATACACAATCAATAAAAATAATAATAATTTTAGTATTCTCTCTCACACAGATATGGTTAGAAATTACAATTCTCACGCTAGTTTTTTCCCATTGTATTACGAGTGAGTCGTTGTGAGACACTGGTATCTGTACTAGGTAAATAGGCACTTGCAAAAATGTCAATAGCTACTTCAAACTTAGATTTTCATAAGACTGTCGCCACATTTCTCAAACCAAAGCTGTTAAGCTTGTATGAACCTCATCTAATCTGTCGTCTATTAAGGCGATATATGCAACTTCAATGTAAATCATATGTCGAACACATCACAGGATCTAAAACCATATGAGGCCCAAATATCCGTTTTAATTCTTTGGCGGACTTAATAAACAATAGTACCTTTGCCGATTAAAGAAAACTCAATTTATTTTTATATTCTTATTTTTATATTAACTTTTTTGTTTTAATCATATATATAAAATTTTTGAGTCACAATGTTAGTTACTATTCTCCTCCGAAACGGCTGGACCGATTTTTATAAAATTTTGTGTGCACATTTATTTATTTATTTATCTTTATGCACTTTTGTACATCGGCGGACTTAATGCCCAGGGCATTCTCTTCCAGTCAACCTTTGGGTGATGTAGAAATCTTGTAAGGTAAGGCACAGAGGTTACATCATAATTTCAAATGTACAATGAAAATATATACATGCACATAGGGTAGGTCTGAGAATCGGCCAACATCTATTTTTCATACCCCTAAATGACAAGGGTAACCCTAATTATTTTTTTAAATATATTTCCTAGAAATAATGTATTTGTCAAAACAACGTTTGCCTGGTCAGCTAGTATTTCTATACAAAAATGTTATATGTTTGGCTGCTAATAGCGTTGACAAGGGCAAATGAATACGCTAACTAATGTTATTTGTATATATTTATATACTTTTGTACTGTATTTATGTATTGTAATGTATGTACCTATGTGTAATATGGATAGATGTAGTATATGTATATGTGATTTTGTATTCAGTTTCAATTGCTTTTAGGTTGTATAAAATTAACTATAACAAAATAACCTACTTCCTGTTTTCTTTGCATCACCCAATGGTTGACTGGTAAAAATACCTTAGGCATTAAGTCCGCCAATGCACCTAATGTGCATGATGTGTGAATAAATACATATATCCGTACGTGAATTTCATTGTGTGTCAAACTACGTCGGACAACGACGAAGTTTCTTATACGTTTATATACATATGTTATCAGAGGTACAAAAAAGTAATTTATTAGGTTTCACCCAAAACAATCAATTTTAGCGGGTCTAATTATTTTGTAAGTTTTGAGTTTCTGTCTTCTTACAAAATCTGTAGGTAACAAACACACATCTATAGGTAAAGACTTACGAGTGAAACCGCATCTATAGGTTACTACAACGGTGACTGCAATTACTTTACTTTCCACGTCTCTTTCTTGTAAACAAACAGTTTATAAAGAGTCGTAGAAACCTCTTATATCCTAAGCCAAGTATAGAAAGGTCAAAGAATATTGACCGCTCTCACAAAGGCACTATACTGCTGTGTTTACTATTGCACGACTCCATTTCCTTCCTTGTGACACAATATACCCTCGCGAAGTTAGAGACCGCATATGCAGTCTATTAAATCGATTTAAATAAAAATCGAATCTCTAACTTCGACTGTTTATTGTATTTTAGTACATTTTCACCTATTTAGAAAAGATTTAAGTGATATTTTTATTGAGTCCTAATTGAGGGGCATTGATTTCTATCGTATTTTTTAAAAAGGTTGATTTAAATTGGTTTCTGCTCAGTAACTTCTTTTATTGTTGAGATTTTTATTCCAGAGTAACAAAAAATACTGAGCTTTTAATACAACCCATCTACAATTTTTTAAGGGAATAACAAGAGATCACAGTTAAAATAGTGTCTGAAATCATAATAATATACCTCTGTATAGGTCACCAAGCAGTATCTATGAAAGGTTGTAGTTCCATTAACATTCATCATATCGCAAAATGGGAGATATGCCTCATCATCATCAACTTTTTGGAAGGTATAGGTATATCCACCCCTATTCATCCCGTGGATGTCGTAAGAGGCGCCTCTTACGACATCCACGGGATGAATATCGGTGGATATACCTATACCTACCAAAAAGTTCTTTAGGACAAGATCGATCGGCTAACCTCGCTATTATCACTACCGGATACTCTTACTGTTATTTCTAAATATTTTTTTACTAAATATAATTCAGACAACCTGCATTTGACTTTAAAATCAGGATTTAATGATTCGTTGTTTAGACTGGTAAAAACTCAACTCCACTCAAAAGTTTAAGTTATAAACAAAATTGACAACTCTTTAATGATTACTACCAAAATGAATATTTAGGATAATGACATAATATTTCTATATAAATAGGTATATAGATATGAGTGTTTTTATGTAGGATGTATATTTTCATATCGCTTAGTTGATAATATAATTTTATAATTAATCCACCTCTGTACTGTAAGTTTCAAGAAATAAATAGTACCTATGGAAAATAACTAGTTTGAAAAATGGTGTCAAAATGAAATTTCACACTTCAACAGACTAGACGAAGTGAGTACCAGCTAACTGTCAGCAGAATCAAGTGCTTGTTGACACTTTTAGTATTACAACAAACGCGAAGGTCATAGAGACGTTAAATGCGTACTTTAAAATATTTTTTTATCAATTTCAACGGTATATTTCTTAAAGAATAGGTATCACGTTACGAAAATAGCAACAAAAAAGGGCATCTGGTATCGCAACGGAACGATACTAAAGAGTATTTAATCATTGAGTAATAGCATCTATGTCACGGTCAATGAGAGTGTGATTACTGGAATGATAGATTTGATAAAACAAATTTTAAAAAAAAGTTGTAAAGTATGAAATTAGATATTCCTTATTTAAAATTGAAAACAATGACAATTAAAATTTATAATTAAGGATTGTCATAGTGGAGTCTAATTATAATAGCTTACCTTTATTAAATGCACAGACAGTTAATGACATTAAATGCACTTCGAAACTTGTATTAAATAACAGCTTGTGACGTCACATTTTACTATCGTCAAATCAGTTGCTTGATTTATTCTATTCAAATGCTGCTAGTTTTTAAAAATCATAGTAATATTCAGACGACCTAAAGCATTTTTCTGAATGTACCTAATACTTGTTTTAAAAAAACGATATCTACAAACGAGAAGTAGGTTTTCTAATAGAATAAATTATGTATTTACTTCTGATCTTTAGTTTTACATTTAACGCAGTAGCACTTCACACCATGAGAACTTTTACATAAATTGATTTTAACCACAGAAAATAGTCATGTTCTACATGCCGCCACTCATATTATAGAACATACTAGTTTGTGCTTACATAAAAGAGAATGTACATACGTCTACACAAACGACCTGTCCTGTAAAAGCAGATTCTGGATGAATACAAGCAAGTCGAATCCCGATCGTCCCTTCCTGTTACTGCTGACTCGTATACTCAAGTCCATTACCTCACCATATTAGCTGTTCAGTCACGTCTTTATAATATCATCTATTCGTCTTGATCTCTTTTTTATTTTTTGTCGTTGGCAGGCATCACTCCATCAAGATCACACCACTATTCGTGTTCCCTGCG